TGATAGCCTGGCCAATCCAGGTAATCCAGGTAATTTAAAGTTTTCCAGTTGAGAAAGACAAACATCATACCAATCAGTATGTTTAGTATATCATCAATTGACACTTCCGGCGACAAGGGTGACTCGTTTTTTGAACTAATAAAATCCTTCGTTATTGAAGAAGCTTGCAGTGAGATGAGTATGCATGGAAGAAAGGAGGTATCAATACAATCAAGCATAGGTCAGTTAAACAGGAAACAAAACGAATATGATCATAAAACACACAGCAACTAGTTTGATGTGGCTAGACAATCATAAATTACTGGAGTTCCGGTATTTTTTACGCTACGGCATTCATGTCAGCAGCGAGTTCAGGATCGCAGATGGTTGGTATGGGTAGTACGATAGCAGTCGAACTGTTTTCTACATGGGCGGCGAGTTCGGCAACTGTTGCACGTTGCATGCTCGGGTGGTTGTTGTACATTCGGATGGATTTCTTGCTCGCGGCGATGACGTGATACTAAACATTGTTTACCGAAAAGGAATTGTCTTCAAATTTAGAAATAAGCGCTTGTTGAATAGCGAAAGTGATTATGAGATAGTAACTCAGAATGGTTCAAAATCGGAGTTGAAAAGGTAGAAAGTATGAATGGGAGCTGATGTTTGTAACATTCAGAATCAATTACGACACTGAGACTTGTGCGGATGAAGATGAGTACAGATCGATTCCAGAAAACGTCGACTGCATGCTTAAAGATGACGTTAGTCATCATAAGTGACTAACGTCATCTTTAAGCATGCAGTCGAAGAATGCTGTGATATTATTCATTCTTTGTTACTCAGTATTTTCACAACCCTTGTGCGGTCACATCTGACGAAGAAGATTATGATCATGTGTGATGGCAGATCTCGATATCATTTTTCAAATGTTTAAATGTTTGTTTGTCTTTATGCCGGCATTGTTAAGTTGCATCATTTTCATTACTGTTTCTGTTATTATTGTTGTTAATGGTGATCGATTTAAAAATAAGATGCCAGTTCCAGTCAATCAGCAAAATAACATGTTAAAAATGAGGTCATTTTATCACCTGTTTTGATGTTGTGAAAAAATTGGTGTATTTTTAACTTGTTGAAAAAGTGTTAGCAAGGATAGAGATAAAATAAAGAGAAGTATGAAGATGAAATGGAATGGAAAACAATTATTTGAAATTTTCAGCTGTGAATTGTAATAAGGTCAATATTTTGGGAGTGTAATCAGGTCACTTTTGGGTCATCTGGACAATTTGCTGGTTATTTTTTGCAGAATGATAAAAATATGTAATGAATTATGCATTCGTTCAAGTGACTAACGTCATCTTTAAGCATGCAGTCGAAGAATGCCATGATATTATTCATTCTTTGTTACTCAGTATTTTCACAACCCTTGTGCGGTCACATCTGACGAAGAAGATTATGATCATGTGTGATGGCAGATCTCGATATCATTTTTCAAATGTTTAAATGTTTGTTTGTCTTTG